AGCACATGCAGAGCTCTCATGCACCCTTTTAAATCTCAGTTCCCTTACCCGCCACACGCAGACACACAGGCACACGGAGTACACGCCCTGCTGAAATTCAGTGACCAGCAACAAACTTGCTTTTCCACAACCTCTCACCCTAGCACGTGGGCAATTGACTGAAACCAAATTCCCATAATAATCCCTAAGTGCTAATTTGGAAAACTGAGCAAACACGATCTCTGGTTCTGAACCTTCGGTGCTTAACATTCCATTCTATGCAAAACCCTGGATCCCACCTTGAAGGAAACAAAAGGGCTACTTTTTCCAAAGATACTTATTTGTGCTGATTTTTTTTCATCCTATATATGTGGTTTAGGTTAAGCTTTAAGGAAAAGTTGTAGGAATATGGCTGGGAACAAACGTGATCATGGATTTAAAAACTTTAGGCATGTTAAAAGCATACATTTTACTGCTAAAATTCTGTGTGTGTGTGTGTATGTGTATACATTTATGGGACTTATTAAAACCTTTTTATTTATTTTTTTAGACAGTATCACTCTGTTGCCCAGGCTGGAGTGCAGTGGTGTGATCTCAGCTCACTGCCTCCAACCCTCCAGGTTTAAGCAATTCTCTGCCTCAGCCTCCAAAGTAGCTGGGATTACAGGCGCAGGCCACTATGCCCGGCTAATTTTTTGAATTTTTAGTAGAGATGGGGTTTCACCATCTTGGCCAGGCTGGTCTTGAACTCCTGACCTCGTGATCCACCTGCCTTGGCCTCCCAAAGTGCTGGGATTACAGGCGTGAGCCACCGCGTCCGGCCAACCTTGATTTTTAAATAATGACATAATCCTTTTTCTCATAGAAATTCCGTACAGTAGCCAAATATATAAAATGGAAAAGGGCATGACCTTGGGGCTGAGACTCACTGAAGACAGGAGGAGGTCCGGGCACAGAAGATGGCCCTTGATGCCTCCGTTTTCCCATGGATGTGGGGAATCAAGGGGTAGCAAATCCTCAGTTAATACCACGGAAATTCCTTGTCCTGCCTAAAATGATCACCACTGAGACTGCTCAAACTATTAAGACTATTAGAAACCCACAACCTGGGACAACAGCTCCAGAACACAGACCCCATTGGCCTGCTGGCCAGCCCCGCAAACACTTACCTCCTTCCACAGGAAATGCTGCTGTTCCACCGGAGCACTGGGATTCCCGCTCGCTGATTCCAGTCTGGCTTCTTTAAACAGGGCTCCACGCCACTGTTGCTAACAGTGGATAAAAGACTTCATCAAATGGGAATGTCCCCTCAGAAGAGTGAACTAAAATGTACTCAACGACAAAACAGGCAAATCTCCCTTTATGAAAAACAACTTAAAATGCACTAGGGAAGCGTAGTAGTTACATTTCTTTGCAAGAAGAATCCTTGCAAAATCCTATCTTCCCTTAATTGATCTTTTGTATAAACACAGATTTTATTAGGTTTATTCTCAGCCGGTAGTTTTTAAACACAGGGCCCCAGCTGCCTAAGGAGCTGGTAAATCCTGACACAGTACGCAAAACTTTGTGAGGCCAGGTGTGCTGGCGGCAAGATTGCTTGAGGCCAGGAGTTCAAAACTAGTCTGGGCAACAGTCTCTACAAAAAATTTTATTAGCTGGGCGTGGTGGTGTATGCCTGTAGTCTGAGCTACTTGGGAGGATGAGGTGGAAGGATCACTTGAGCTCAGGAGTTCCAGGCTACAGTGAGCTGTGATCATGCCACTGCACTCCAGCCTGAATAGAGTGAGAGTCTGCAAAAAAAACCAAAAAGCTTTGTATGTGCATTCCATGGGGGGAGAGTTCCCAAAAAAACGATTAAGACCCACCCACATCAGGTAACACAGCACTGACAACTGTTGTTCTTACTAGGCGTTCGTCTATGGCTTGTGGTAGAGATGTTCATTCTAGGCTTTCAAATTTACCAGAGACAATAGGAAGCGTGGGGATGTTGTCCAATTTTGGAGCAATCTCCAAAGTTCCACATCCTGCCCCTTCCATGGCTTCAAACAACACCCACACATAAGGGCAACACAGCCTGGGTCCCCTCCTCTCCGGGAGACAAGGCAGGCAGATGCTTTGGCCATCAAGACCCCTGATGGATGCAGGTAGCTCTATTTAGCAGGCACACATACCCACACACCCCTCTCTCTAACAGTCTTACAGCAGGCTGGACAGCAAATAAATGACACCTTGCCAGGCCAATACCATTTTTCCTATATTCTGAAACATTATTTTCCCTGTCCTTTGGACCATGAGCAAAATAAGCCTTCCTGACCAAATATTCAATCTAAACTCAGGACTACACCAACCTTTGGTCAGGTCTGTGGCCTGAGACCAAAAGCCAGGGTCCAAAGGGACTTCATACCCTGCATCACCCCTCAGCGCAGCGGGCACAAGGCCTACATCCTGACAGCTCCTTTCTGGAGCAAGAGTGAAGTAGGTGGCAGTAGCTGTCTAGATTTCTACTGTAGTTCACCTATTATTGTCTTGGCCTGCTGTGAACTAACAGTCATCATGTCCTAGGAGGCAGGCACTAACAACCTCGTGAAGTAGGAACTATTACACCATTCACAGATGATAGTTGGCAGCCTGGTTAAATAACATGGCCCAAGACCACAGAGCTGGCGTGTCGCAGAGGCTGTACTCTAAGAACTCACTACATCATTCTGCCTCCCTGAGGAGAGGCAATAGGCACAGGAAGGTCCCGATCTGGGACCCTAATGCATTCTGAGCTCCTGCAGACGTAAGTGGGCAAATGGGTCCTGTGACACAAGGACACATCACCACCACCAGGCAGTTGCTCAGTCACTACAGGGCCTCCGAATCATCAGTTCTCAAAACTGCATGTCGACCAAACAGCAGCACTACAAAATGGCAGCTTGAACTGCCCAAAGGATATCCCACCACGAAGTGTTTCCTCCAATTCACAGGAAAAAATAAATGAATAGATGTTTAAACTCCCATCATTTGGTCTTTTGGCTTATTTATATACTAATAAAATTATTTCTGATAAGCACAAAGTCAATGTATTTACGTACTCTAGAGACGTCTGAGGACTTCTCAGTCAAGAAGTCAATCCCTGAAGCAGGCCATCTACTCAGGCTCACTTAACCAGCATCAGACACCCCACCCTGGGCCAGCACCTTCCTCTCACTGCCACCAGAGGCTACAGAAAGAGGTGCTTGGGGTTAAAGTTTTCCAAGGTCAGAGCTAGTCACCCACCTACAGAAGACCACTGACCATTAGGAAGCCACTTGGCAACCTCAAGCTCGGTGAAGCTGTTTGGACGAGCTGCTCAGAGGGATGTCACAATTTATGACTCCCACTCACCAGGGGAAACATTCTCATTGCTCTCGGTAGATTGATGACTGCAGTCTATGTGGTGAAGTCCGCCAAGTCATGAACAGCTAAAGACCAGTGAAGCTGCCAAGTCATTCCTTTTGGACTAACCTCCCAAAAGAAGAGCTCCAAGTATAAGAACAGTAGCTCCAGAGCCAAGGTGAGGACAGCTGGCGTCTACTCCTTCCCTTCCAGCTCAGCACTTCAGCTGACCTTCCCACACCAGCGAGGCAGCCACAGATGACTGAGACCACAACTGCAGGTTGTACAGTTTATTGTTCCAATACCACAACAGACATACAGAAGCAGTGCTTTCTCTGGGCAGCCCCCATGGACCAGATCAGTGTCAAACTGTAACCTTGAGTGTCCCCAAAGGTTCCAGCAGAGGGAAGAGGACTGGACGTGCTTGGGCCCCTGTTCCCGGTTTTTGGTAAACAGACACTTAAGTTGGCAACTTTGACTTGGCCAATACTGCATTCTAAATCACATCATTCCCAACTTGTCACTCATGCTTCAGATGACGAAAATGCCACATCAGATTAAATGAGAAAAAAACCTTTCAGACTTGTTGAAGTCATACAAATTTTATACTTGACCTAAATTAAGCAAGGACCCTCAATTCTGTAGTAAGTCGAAATACAAGATATAAGGCAGGAAACAAGGCAAAGGGAAAACACACACAGGGGCATCTACTTGCTGGAAACATGTTGGGAGAGAGGCAGGAGCAGGCATGGCTTTGTTTCTTCCCAAACCTGCCCGATGTCAAAAGTACGTCAAAAGGAGCCTCACAGTCCCAGGAGAGCATGGTCCCAGGTATTGCTGTGACAGGTGGTGACCCTGGAGCCAGATCTGGAAGGCCTTCCTGGGGGCTGCCCAGGGAACTCACCCATGAATCCAGAAGCACTTAACACTGGTGGTGGTGATTTGTCACATATGGCAGCGAGCAGCCATTAAGGCTGTAGGAGGAGAGATGTGAAAAGCAAGATGAGTTTGCTTGGCGGCGTGTGGGCAGGCTGACTGTGGCTCTGCAGGCTGCAGCAGGTTCACCCGGTGACCCAACAGGGCATCGGGCAACCTGGCAGGTCACAAGTCAATCATATCACCCTCACGTCGAGCAGCACAGCACTCAGTGGCTCTGACAACAGGTGTAGAGAAGTAGATTACACCACTTTAATGCAATGATGCTGAAGATGTAAAATTAGGAAGAGACGTTCATGTTCTCTGTACAATACATCCATTTACAGAATCAGCCAGTACTGTGTACAACATATAAATACATGATAAAACATTAGAGGTGCATAGAGCATACTTACAGAAGCCAAAAAGTTCACTTTATACATCCAAGAATAAAGAGTTAAAAATATAAAAATATGAAACACACACTGCTTTGAAATGTAAAATGACTTTCACATACACAGGTGCGTGGAGATGCCCACTCCCATAGGGTCCAAAGTGACAGGGAAGATGTCAAGCAGAGGAATTCACCTGCAAACGTCTGGACAGCTGACTCACAAGGTCTACAGATGGCATTTTCATAGGAAAGACAACCCTATTCCCCAACCCCATTGTCCAAGCAGAGCTATTCAAGGTTCCAAATGATCCTGTGGGCTAGTGGATCACACGGAGACAGAAAAGTTCCAAATTTGCTCCGTCAACTGGCAAATGACTCAACTGTGACCCTAAGGTCAGCACGTGCACCAGCCCCCTGGTGGGCAATGCTGGGAGTTACTTTAACCCTGTGCTGCCTTCTTTCCTGGCCATCAACTCCCCAAAGTAGAAGAAGAAAAGATGGCAGGGAGGGGGCAGTGGAAGACTGGCATTTCTACTTAGTTCAGGTAAGTTAATTCCCTTGATGGAGAATGCAACCTTCTTGCTTCAGTTTCAAGTCCCTCTGGGAGTCAGGCAGTCCCCCCACCACCCACAACCCCACTCCATGCCACATCAGGCTGTCTGCAGGAGAGTTCAGGCTGGCTGGCCTTGGGCAGCCCAATGGGTTATACCCAGGAAACCCCTCCAGCAAGACCAGAAGGGTCAACAAGAGACAGAGGCCTTTAGCACTATAAATTCTGGGGGAAGGCAAGAGTGCTCCTGCCTAAAAAGAGTATTGTATCAATGATATTCTGTACACAGATTTAAGATCAATCATTATCAAAATACACACACTAAATATACAACGTTTCCCATGGCCATAATTTATTATCTCACCACAAGGCACAATACACAGAGCTTTGAGGGTCCAATACAGTCATCATGACAGAATGCACCGCAGCCTTGGCACATGATCATGGCTTTCAGGCTGCACGCACACTGGAGTGAGATGCTTTCCACTGTGCTGCTGTCAGTGAACATTTGCAAGGAAAGTGATGCACTGTGGCTCGCACCAAACTTTGCTTTGTGGCTCAGCTGCACCACACTTCCAGCAAGGCCTTTGGGAAAGGTGGGAGAGCTGGAGGAATAATTAAAGCTGGTGGAACTCAGCTGGAGTTTAGAAAGCTTCCCATAAAATGCCTGCTTGATGCTGAGTTGGGAGGGGAGAGAAGGTGGCTCCAGAGGCTCACTGAGCCCCTTCCCTGGTTCTTGGGGTAATTTCCAGAAGGGCAAGTCCATGACAAAGGGCATCCCTTGCAAGTGACCCACCAGTTCCAGGGGACTATGCCCAGTAGCTTTCCTGTTCTCGGCATTTGCCTTAAGAGAACCCCCCACAAAAGTCTTCTCATTCTTGACGCTGCCAACAGAGGCACGTGGCTTTGGAGCCCAGTCTTCCCTTGGAGTCTGTATCCCACCAGACATGGAGTTTGTGCTTGGTCCCAACTTCCCACTGGGAAAAACTGGAGGGATCTCAGCAGGCAGAGGCATCGGGTCTGCAGGCCTGGGGCGCTGAAGGGTTGCAGCCACATTCCCAGAGCCAAAAAGCTTCTTCCCTTGGCCTGTAACATTGCTCTGATCATCCAGGGCCCGACCTGTCTGCTCTGGACCAAAGGAGATCACATTTGGAGATGAGAAACGAGGTGTTCTCGAGGTAGTAAGATCTCCTGGGCTCTTGCCTGGAGCAGCATTTGAATTACTGTCCTGTGACACGGCACAGACTTCCTTTTGATCTTCACAACTAAAGGAAGAGAACTGCTCTTTGGAATCCATTTCTTCCAGTTTCCTAGAGGAAGTAATTGGATTTGTCACTGGATGGAGGGAGTCAAAACTTGGGACTGTCTTGGAATTCTTTTGGGGTGCTCCAGGAGCCTGGGTGACCTCAATCCTGGCAAGACCAGGGCCTGTTTCATAGCTATCTGGTAGAAGAGGCTCCTTCAAAGCCCTTAAAGAAATGGGGCTGCTTCCACCAACCATGCCACTGTTTTCTTCAAGACCATGTAAAGATCCCAGGCACAGGGAGCCATGGCTCTGCTCGTTTGTAAGCGGTACTTGTGGGGCTTCTGGCGTGCTGTCATCGTGGGCCGGTGGAAGAACCTTCTCTAGGGGCAAGTTACCCTGCAGCAACTGCATCACAAGTGGGTTAGTGGCCTCCACTGAGGACCCAGGCCTGGACAGACACATGGCTCTTGGCTGGTACTCAGTATTGGCCAGCAGTAGGGAATCTGGGATCTTTTGGCGGACCGCACATACTCGAGACACCCAGCTCTGAGGAGCAACCATCCCATCTGTCCTTGTAACCAGACGCAGGTCACCATTCACCTTGGACAGTGAGGCAGATTGGTTCCAACTGGGTTTCTCATCCTTGTTCACCGAAGATCCCTTTGTCACTGCAGCTTCACTACTGTCAGCCTCACTGCTGTCCTCCGTGAGGTGACCTTCAAAGTCAGAGGCTGTATCTGTGGACTCACTGTGAGGACTCAGTGCTTCAGAGTCTCCGTTGATTTTCAGCTTTTCAGCGTCCATCTGTTGACAGTAACTACCAGTGCTGTCATTGCCTCCTCGGGATGGCACAGTCCAGAGTGAAGTAAGGCTATCAGTAGGATCTAGACCCTCGTCGGCTGTCAAATCCCCAGGCAATGCAGGAAGGGTGGGAGGAGCTTTCTCCCACTCCTCTCCAACCTGGGGCTCAACAGATGGTACATGTCCTCTGGATTCTGGTTCAGGCTGTTTCACTACGTCATCATTCGATGGGATGGGCATCCAATGCACAGAACTGTTAGAAACGAGAGCCTTGGTTTTCAAGTTTTCTTGTCTAGTATCACTTTCCCTCATAGGAAGGCATGAGTCACCAAGACCTAATTTGTCATCAAACGGTCTGTTCTGCAGGCAATCAGTTGATGAGGATTCAGGTGTAGAACTGGGGGTCACATTTACAGGATCCTTCATAGTGGGATGACTGTCAAGAGTCTGGCCAGTTCCTTTCTCTAATGTATCATCTCCCACTAGAGACGGAATAGGACCATTGTCTGTGGGAGTGGTGGGTCCTCGCTCCTCATCATCACTTTCCCAGGAAGTGGTGCCAGACTCACATTCAGTTCTAACATCCGGATGCAACTGAGGCTGCTCCACTAATCTCTCAGCTACTGAGGTTTGGGAGGACAGTGGGGGCAAGGCCTGGCATGGCTGGTCCCCAGTGGGAGCAATGGGAAGTTGGGAGGCATCTCCCAGCCCATCTCTGAGTCCAGCTGAAGCTCTCTGTAGTAGGCAGTTTTCCTCCTTTCTCAGAGAAGCCAGGTCCTCTCTCCTCGCTCTGGACATGGCAGTTCCGGCCTGGGTATGCTCCCCATTTAGAGGATAAGGCGGCAGTAGTTGTGTTCGCTGTAGATCTGACGTACACTTTCCAGGGGTGCTCGGGCCTCCCCTGGGCTCAAGGTGGCCACAGGCCTCACCACCATCACCACTGCTGCCGCCTCTGCCACCTCCCTCATCGGTGGCCCCGCTGCCACCTCCACCCGGGCCACCCCCCCCTCCGATGGCAGTGGTGGCCGCCTCTCTATGGCAGTCATGACCTCTCGCCCCTCGGACCTGCAGAGCACGGGCTTTAATGTCTGCGAGGGTCCTGGCGCCAGTCCAGCCCCGGCAGGAGGACTCCGTGGTGGGGATGATCCGGGGGCATATCTGGTAAGTGGGCTGACCTTTAACCACCCAGGGTGGTTTGATACGTGAAAGTTGAATCTGCAAAAAAAGAATTAGAAAACAGTTTTAACTGACTGGGTGATCTGACCTAGGGACTGTAAAGCAAAACTAGGATTCTAGTAGCTTAAGGGTCATGGCATACAGAATCAAATAATTTCCTTAAAACAATGAAATCATCATAGTAAAATGGCTGCCATAACACCACACCATTCAGAGAAGATTCTGCTCAAGGGCTGTTATATGCCACACTTCTAAATTTAATTTCTGGTGGGACTGTGTGAGTCACTACAGCAAAGAACCTAACACTATCTTAAAAAGATTTTAAAACTCCAAAGGATTTTGACCTCTGGAGATAACTTCAACAGAGTGAACAAAAAAGTGAGGAAGAAAAGAACCTATCTCACTAAACTTTAAGGCTGTCTCAAGAAAGCCTCTCATAAAAGGCTCTACATTCCCATATAATTAACTTCAAGGCCCCAGAGTTAAGGGCTCTATAATCTCATGACCCTCAAAGAAAACCTGGCTCCAGGGCAGCCAGGAATCAAACAGTCTCCTACCCGGATGGGCGGGACTTTGGGCTCCTCTTTAGTGGGCTGTGGCTTTTCGGTGTGAACACTTTCAATTGTGTTACGAAAGGACTGACGATCTTCAAGCCGGGGCTTCTTTTCGGGAAAGGATGCAGAGGCCGCCTGCTCAAAGGATTTCCTCTTCTGATCCTTGGGCTCCTGATCCACAGTCTCCCGAGGCAGACTAGGAATTCTGTCTGGAGATGCAGAGGCACGTGCCAAGTTGTCTGGCTCAGTCTGGATCCGAGAAGCCACAGACTCAACTGGGAATTCGGGACCCTCTGGGTCGGGTGCTGCAGAGGATGTGCCTGGCAGATGGGGACTGCTCAGCCCTGCTGGGTCAGTCTTAGCCTCCCCATCCTTGTAGAGGGGAACATCTGAGGCCACAGATTTTGCATCCTTAGCAACCCCTGCTTGTTCTGGCTCCTGTTTTTTGTACAGATTCCTCCTGGCTCTGGTTCGGAGATCTGGCCGAGAACGTTTCTTAAAATGCCCATCTCGCTGTCGGGTGGCTGGACCACGCTGTGAACGCACTGATTCTCCTGGGACACACAAGCCACTTTTGATTTCGGCCTCCTCCTGGCCCACGTTCTGCTGCAATGACTCTTCTTTGGTCAAACCCAGCCTGCAAATCAAAATCACACCATCAGTTTCAGGCCAGAGTGGACATGTCTCTTTTATTTCTATGAATAATATGGACCCAGAAACATAGATATCTCAGAACAAAATAAATCTGCATGGTGCATAACTCTAACCACAGAAAAACTTCTGTTAGCTTCACTATGAATGGCATTATGATAAATGACCCAAGTGTCACTGCAATCTCCACACTGTTGTCCAACATGTAAGTAATACACTACTTTGAGACCATCTACCTCTATCCCCTCAAAACCCCAGACCAGGACTCATAGCTCCAACTGCCTTACTTCTGTCCATAGTAGTCTTCAAAGAACTTTTCTTTCCATTGTTCCACCTTCTTTTCCTTCTCCATTTCCTGTCGTATCCTGACTTGCATTTCATGAGTAAATTCGCCTAGGGAGAAATAAACCTCTTCTAGTAAGTGCATTCGGGATATTAATGTCTGTCTTATGGACAGCTGAATCTCCCAGTTTTAAACCATGTCTCTTCTAGAGGCTCTCTCACATCACGCTCTTACAGGGACAGAGCTAACACGTCTACTATAAGGGAAATTCACTCTTCCCTAAAGTCAGACCAAGCAACTCCTTGATCCAAAAACCAAAACAACAACAAAAAAGAACCATTCTTATTTCCCGTGTAGACAAAAAGTTAACATAGTAGGCCTGATTGTTTATTCTTAGAAAGGCCTACTTAAAAGAACAGCTGTTGGCTGATATCTGGGAACTTACGATTTCAGGAGGGTTCCCAATCACCCTAACTGATGAGTTGTTCACTGTGCCTAAATTGTTTATGCAAACAATATGGCTTATGCTGAACACCTGCCTTCCTTCTGGGAATCTGGAATCTCGGTATGTGCCAAGCAGTGGCTTCCTACATGATCTGGCCTTGATAAAAACCCTGGGCACCAAGTCTTTAACAGGTTTCCCTAGTAGACATTTCATACATGTTGTCATAACTTGTTGCTGTGGGAATTAAATGTGTCCTGTGTGACACCACTGAGAGAGGACCTTGAAAGTCAACACATGGTTTCCCCTGGACCTCACCCCATGTGCCTCTCCATTTGCTGATTTTGCTTTGTATTCTTCTGCTGTAATAAACCACAGCCCTATACATGTAACTATATGCTGAGTCCTGCTAGCAAATCATCAAACCTAGGGGTGTTCTTAAGAACCCTCTCAACACTTTCCCTACAAAATTAAATTAATAGAAGCTAACAATCACTCCAAGTGACAATGCCTAAAGACAGAGCATGATGGAGCTTGTCAACTCCACAGTGTACTTTCCTCCACCCTTCCAGACGATGCCATGATTACTGGAATAGGTGTTTATAGTTTTAATGATAAAAAGGAGATGAAGAATGAGTATATACATACAATATAGTGAAAGTCTAAACCTAAACACTCTGTTATTTCTTCAGAGCTATGTGGCACATTAATACCCACCACATTTATTGGTAATGAGGAAAGCCTGTCTTATACTAAATAACCCTTTGAGAAGAGCTTGGATTTTAAGTACCAGGAGACATGCAACACCACACATGTCAGGTGCATCGCAAGCCGTCTGAGATGATCAAGTCTACGTACCATCAGCCAGGCGCTCCCGCCAGCTCTGAGCCGCATGGGTAAAAAACTCGTTATTCAGTGCACTGCTGCTGAGACGCAACAGGCCATCTGTCCCCACCTAGAAGGATCAAGGGGGAAAAAAATCCTAATAAATAAACTTAAAAGAGAACAGAAGCCCATCCAGAAAGAGGCAAAGGGGAGGCTGCCCATGTGCACCTGTCTGTCTACTTCAGGCAGGAGGAAGAGGAGCTGCTGCTGGAAGTGTGATGGTAAGGCATGGAAGGTCCGAGAGTTGATCAGGGCACGGAGGTTGGTGTTGACAAGAATGGACCCAGGTGTCTCAAAATCTATTTCTTCCCCTCTGTTACGCTTCATTTGACCTATGATTTTTGAAGCAAGAAGCAGCAAGGTATAGATTTCAGCTTTTTAAAAGAAAAAAGCAAATGCCAACTGATGGGAAAACTTTGGTGACAGCACCCAAACTACCCAGAAGTTATCTGCACACAATCTGCTCAATCCATCCTAACCTGCATATTACAATTGTTCTTTCCAGGTTACTGTCATTGCCATCAAACCTAGGAGAACACTTGGGGTTGCATCCCCTCAGACAAAACTCTGTACCATGCTGTGTCACAGCCTGAAAAGGACACTTCCCACAGAAAACCAGGCAAGGGGCAGGTTCTGAGCTTCCCTCCAAAGCTGGAGAACAGGTTCCACAAAGCTCAACTGGAGAAATCATGGAAATTGTCTAAAAGTAAATCTAGTTAGTCTACTATAGAAAAATCTGCAGAAGCCTTCTATGAATGGGCTGGAGAGGGATGATCTCCATGCAGAAATGTACTAAGCACTGTTCAAAGCCAACTGAGATGCTAATACCTCTCACAGAAGCCTCAGCAAATGTTACTTTTATGTGAAAAACTCACTAGGACTAGAGACCTGTGAGACCTTAGATTGAGCACTGCTGATGAGCTAGAAAAGCAGCAAGACAGCAAATCTAGTTCTCACATGGACAAAGGTTTACTCTAATTCTCAGAAGCAAGTTTGTCTTCTTAATGGTTTCATGTGGCTCATCTACAAAAAAACCCAGCACGTGGGCCATTAAGAATTAAATCCTGAAATAGCAAAGAGCATACCAGTATTGCAAATAACCCTAATGGGGGTGGGCTGGGGTGAGGGGTGGGAGATATAGATACAGCACTACTGAATTTGTTTGCATCCCCAAAATTCAACACATGCTTCCACTCAACATACTGACTAGGTTGGAAAAAAGGGAGCGTCTGATAGAGACTACAGATGTTGGGAATGAACGTGGCAGGATGCTACCGAAGAGAGAAAAGGGGTGTTGGAATTCTTCACTGAGAAGCTCAGAAGCAGTTTTCAGTCACTCAAACACTTACTAAGCAGTACAAGGCAGGCATAGACTAGGCCTACAGGGACATACGAGAAACTATGTGGCATCATCTCTGCCTGAAAGGAGTTCTCACAGTCTAGCAGAGAGCTACAAATGAAATCATCAAACTACAAGGTAAAAATAAATAAAAATAGAGGGCCACCCAAGAAGTAAAAATAAACTGGCAAAGGAACTAGAATAGAAGACATCTTCTCACTAGGCCTGCAGGGGCCCCCTTTACAGGCAGAGAAATAAGTGCCAAGCCACTCACCTGTGGCTGGCTTCCGGAAGCCTCTCAGGAGCGGGGCAGGGTCCTGGGCGACCTCGGCCTGGCCACGAATAGCAGCGCTGCCCAGGGCCAGAGAGCCGCTGCTGCTGCTGGACGGGCTGCCGCTCTCGCCATCGGCGTGGCGGCCCGAGAACCCTGAAGGCACAGCATTCCACTGGTCAAAAGTATCACAAGCCGCGCCCACGGCTCTCAGACAAGCTCACTTCTCCCAGCTCTCCCTGAAATGCTGCCAGCAATACTGGGATACTTCCATCTCCCAGCCTTAGGCTGAGAGAAACCACCACCTCATGGTCTGGCTTTAAAAATACCACCTTACAGAGCCAAACCGCCATCTTTATTTGTATAGCACTACACCTTTTACAAAGCACTGGCACAATCAAATCCTCCATTGGATCCTCACGACTGCCTTGGGAGACAAAGAGGAAGGCACACGGCAGAGCCCAGCACTAGAACCTACGGCAGGCCTCACCCACTGGCAGGGCTCTTGCCTGTGGCCCGACAGCTCTCCTGGCATCACACTATTAAGTCAGAAACTGTTGACAGAGGGGGGCCAGGTCCCCAGGACCTGAGGAAAAAGCATCACAACCATGAGTTTACACATACCTGATGCAGATTCCACGTGGGCCCCGTTTACCTTCAGAGGAGTCAGGACAACTCGAGGCAGCATCACCCCAGTCTTTTTCTTTTGTTTGTTCGCCTACATTCCCAGAGAGAACAAAAAGAGAGCCCCAATCAACTGCAGAGTCACAAAAGCATTTCCTGGCGACACTCTCTACTCACTCTCTTGTAAAATGAAGTTCGTCTTCAACCAGATCTGTCGAATAATGCTGACGAGAGCACCGGTTAATGTTACTGAGCTACGTGCTGGTCACTGTGCCAAGCATCATTCCAAGCTACAAAACGTACTGTTATCCCCATTTTACAGGCAAGGAGTTTTCCCAAAGTCTCAAGGGTAGTAAGTGCAGGGTCACCATTCAAACTGCTCACTCCCAATCTCCTGTTCTCACTACTCTGCACTAACCCCACTTCTCCCCGGATGTTCACATGTATATTACAAGAATGAACAGAATCAGGCTGGGCGTTGTGACTCATGCCTGTAATCCCAGAACTTTGGGAGGCTGAGGCGGACGGATCACTTGAGGTCAGGAATTCAAGACTAGCCTGGCCAACATGGCAAAACCCCATCTCTACTAAAAATACAAAAATTAGCCAGGTGCAGTAGTACGTGCCTGTAATCCCAGCTACTCGGGAGGTTGAGGCAGGAGAACTGTTTGAACCCCAGAGGCGGAGGTTGCAGTAAGCGGAGATCACACCACTGCACTCCAGCCTGGGCGACAGGTGCAACTCAATCTCAAAAAAAAAAAAAAAAAAAAAAAAAAGAACGAACAGAATCACTCAGCCAAGGTAAAGAAAAAGAAAAAACTCACTCTGCTCAGACCTACTGTTCACTTTTCCTACGGCCCACTGTTAAATGCTACTAACAGCTAGAGACCAGACTTCTATTCTTCACTCTCTGAACATGTCCACAGCTTACAACAGGAGAAGGAAGCATCTTGCCTTGTACCTGTCATCATTCATCCTCCCGGGTTAGGCTCTACCTCTTCCTTACCTGTGAGGAAGCTCTGTAGCTGTCCCTGGGATTGGAAAGAGGTCGACTCTGAGATTCTGTAGAACAGGATGCATTCGAAGATGTTTCATCAAGAGATACTGGAAGAAAGGAAAATAAAGGTTAGTCCCTAGTGCCCGCTGTGGCTCCCTCACCCATCCGGTAAAGGGTCCTTACCATCGTTTTCACCACTCACAGTGCTGGCTTCATTAGACCCACAGCTCTCCACATCAGCCGTGTCCTCTGGCTCCTCTCCCTCCACTGTAGCCGGATGGCGGGACCACTGCAGGGCATCCTTCTGTGATAGCAAGGTACAACTGAGGTGAACAAAGCCCTACAAATTCTTAAAGCAAGACAGTCATTCCTAAATGTGTATGCTTTTGAAAAACAGGGATTTAGAATACTGACAAGTTCCTAACCCTTTCTGACCTTTCTCTCAACACGTTCTTTTCATAACTATACCATCAATAAAGTTAGATACACTTTTGCATTCAAACATTCATTAAACATTTATAGGGTGCCTCCTATAAGCTATACCATGTTGGTTCTGGGGAGGGTGGAGTGCTAAGGAGCAAGAATCAGGGTCCGGCTCTCAAGGAGCTCAAATAAAGGGGGGGGTGTCAATTAAACTGATTACAATACAAAGTACAGTACATAAGTGAATATGGAGAGCAGTGGCAGCCCAGAAGAGGGGGCACCTAACTTCAATGAGTTGAGCGAACGATGGCATGGAGGTGAGTAACGATCAGGGAAGTAATACTTCCGAAAGGATGTGTTACTTAAGCTGGGTTTTAAAATAAATTAGCAACTAGACAGACAGGTTGGCAGTAGGGAGACTGCAGGAAGTTCTAGATAGTGGGATGAGTAAATGTGAAAGAATATTCCAAACTCAGGGAAACTAGAGGTGTGGGGAACTAGGGTGTGGGGAACTCAATATGTAGGATGCTAGAGAGGGCACGAGGGCAGATGATAAGACCCATGTGGAGGGATCAAGAATTTGATTGATCTGGAGTCACTGAAGGATATTAACTAGGGGAATGATTTGGGTTTTCGGAATTTCATCTGGCAATCACAGGAAGCCTGGAGGCAGGAAGAAGAGTTAAGACATTATGACAGACATCCACTGAAAAATGCCAAAGATCTAAACCAAAGATTGTGGCCACAGGGTTAGAGTGTAGAGGAGAACTCCATCCCAAATTTCACCTCCTAAGAAAAGCTTCCTCCAATAGACTATATGCAGACTCAGAATTAAACTCTTCCCATTCCCAAGAACTTCGGAGCTATCTCACACCTCAAAACTACAAAGAGTATGGATGAATACTGGCAGTTGGAGACAAGAAGAAGGTAAGTTGGGGCAGAGGAGGAGAACATCTTCTTTGAATAAAAGTATGTAAAAAAAAAGTTGATGAAGTCATGATTCTGCTAAGAAGGCACCATACATTTAAAAGCGGTGCCCACAACAATCTAACTCATCAATTTCATGGGTCTCTTGATCCACTACATTGAAGTTTCATCAATTTATTTTCATTAGTTTTAGCCAAACATCACGTATCTTAGAGTTTAAAAACAAAAAATTTTAAGGTATTTCCTTCAAGGAATACTACCACAGGTAGCCATTTTAAAAAAAGCTGTAGAGCATTTAATGACAAGAGAGACGCTGATACAGCAAGCTAATTAGGCAGTTAAATTCATACAGTATGATTCTATCATCTTTTTTAAAAAATGAAAATCTGTCTGTGTTTGCACAGAAAAACGCAAGAGAAATTCTTGCTAAGATGTTGACCACCACCATCTCTAGGTGGCAGTTTTTTTGTTTTTTCGAGACAGTCTCGCTCTGTCACCCAGGCCAGAGTGCAGCGGCATGATCTCAGCTCACTGCAACCTCCACCTCCTGGGTTCAAGCAATTTTCCTGCCTCAACCTCCTGAGTAGCTGGGATTACAGGCGGCTGTCACCACGCCCAACTAATTTTTGTAGTTTTAGTAGACATGGGGTTTCACCATGTTGGCCAGGATGGTCTTGAACTCCTGACCTCAGCTGTTCCACCCACCTCGGCCTCCCAAAGTGCCGGAATTACAGATGTGAGCCACCTTACCTAGCCTAGGTGGTAGAGTTTTATTAAGTGCTTTATATTTTTTTCAATTGTGGGTATTTTCTACTATTAACGTGTATTGTTTTCTGTGATCAAGAAAATAACAATGAAAAAGAAAAATCAGGTGCATCTAGCTTTACCAAGAGCTAAATCAAAATTTCCTTCCTCTAAGTCCTAGAGTCTGGGGAAACCAAGTACTGTTTACAAATCTCATTAATTAAACAAACATGAATAGGGCCTGCTTGTCTGCAATTCAAACTACCCAGAAGTTTCTAAAGCCATGCATTTTCAGTAAAAAAGCAACGAGGAAAACAAAACTTTTAAGAGCAAGATTTGCTATTCTAATACTGCGTAATTTTTATTATACAGACAGGGTCTTGGTCTGTTGCCCAGGCTGGTCTCAAAGTCCTGGGCTTGGCCGGGCGCAGTGGCTCACGCTTGTAATTTCAGCACTTTGGGAGGCCGAGGCAGGCAGATCACTTGAGGTCAGGAGTTCGAGACCAGCCTGACCAACATAATGAAACCCTGACTCTACTTAAATACAAAAATTAGCTGGGTGTGGTGCACGTGCCTGTATTCCCAACTACTCGGGAGGCTGTGGCAGGAGGATCGCCCAGGACGTGCAGGTGGCAGTGAGCCAAGATCTTGGCATTACACTCCAGCCTGGGCAACAGGGTGAAACTCCATCTCAAAAAAAAGAAAATAATAATAAATAAATATAAATGCTGGGTATGGTGGCTCACACCTGTAATCCAGCACTTTGGGAGGCCGAGATGGGCGGACCATCTGAGATTGGGAGTTCGAGACCAGCCTGGCCAATATGGTGAAACCCCCTCTATACTAAATATACACACAAAAAAATTAGCTGGGCCTGGTGGCACACATCTGTAATCCCAACTACTTGGGAAGCTGAGGCACAAGAACCGCTTGAACCTGGGAGGTGGAGGTTGCAGTGAGCTGAGATCATGCCATTGCACTTCAGCCGGGGCGACAGAGTGAGACTCTGTCTCAGAAAATAAAAAATTTAAAAAAAAAGAAGAATCAAAATTCTGTACTCAAGCAATCCTCCCGCCTCAGCCTCCCAAAGCGCTAGGATTACAGGCCAATTCTACAATTAGCCACATCCAGCCAATTCTGCATTTGTAAAAGATCATTAATCTTTTCATACAAACTGTGTAAGTTTGACATAATTGACTTTTCATACATTAACTCTATATGTATGACAAAAACAAATGGGTTACTGAAAATAACAGGTGCCAGAAAACATGCCCTGGGATTCAAGATTTTAACATTCTACAAGAATAATTTCCATCATGAAGCTTTTTAAAAATTAATAATGGGTGATCTTTCACTGAATCCTACATATAAAAAAATTCTATAGGCGGGGCACGGTGGCTCATGCCTGTAATCCCAGCACTTTGGGAGGCCAAGGCAGGTGGATCACAAGGTCAGGAGTTCGAGACCAGCCTGGCCAACATGGTGAAACCCTGTCTCTACTAAAAATAAATTAGCCGGGCATGGTGGTGCATGCTTGTAATCCCAGCTACTCGGGAGGCCGAGGCACAAGAATCACTTGAACCTGGAAGGCAGAGTTGCAGTGAATCGAGATCATGCCATTGCACTCCAGCCTGGGAGACAGTGCAAGACTTTGTCTTAAAAAAAAAAAAAAAAAAAAAAAAAAAAAACCAATCCTTCACCACACAGTTACCATGAGAGG